AAACATATCTACGCGTAGATCATGATGTTCTGTTAGAATCGCTGAAAACTGTTTTCCAAAATTCGCAGCGGGTAGTGTACAGCATCGATTTCTGTGGAACCCAGTAGCTGTCAAAACTTTCACATTTTTACGAATAACTCGGAAATCGTAAATTTTTCAGGTAAAACGGTTGAAACAAACATAAATTAAAATTGAACGGCCAATCTGAAAATAACAAAAAAAGGGGGAGTTTCATTTAAAAAAACCAGAGTTGGTAACTACCACACGTTTATGATGCACCCTGTATATTGGAAAGTAATTTTAGAATGTGGACCTTTTAAACGTGAAAAACTTTCGTTGGACGAATTTTCTTGTAAACTTCATATTTACTGAGATATCGCACTTTGACGCACTAATGAGCAACCCTGTATATTTTATTTTACCAATTGCATACGCAATTCTACTATAGAAAAGCAATTATTAGCTTATTATAATATTAGCAGTATTATAATTACATTTTGTAAGGTGGCTATGGAATTCATTAAATAAGTGTCAAAATTTGATGATACTTGACATAATCAATGAAGAAAAGTGCAATGTTTTATAAAATGCCTGGAATTTCATAGCAAAAAATTCAATGAAACTGCATACGTCTATAAAAATAAAAATAGAAAATGATACCTACAATTATATTTTAAAACAAATGTTCAGTATGATTTCCCTTAACATTTAAGCAACTATTAGTATATACGTTTTTGAAATAAATCGCTCATGCAGTTGAAAACAATATTATTAATGCTTCGAAAAATAGTTGTGATTTATTCCTTCATGTCATCCTTTATAAATGGAGTTATTATATTAGTTTCGTATTTGACGTAAGCCCATAAAAATAAATCAATTTTTACCAAATCGCGTGAACGAAGTGGCCACTGAACATGCCCACCTCCGCCTATCCACCTCTCAGGAAATTAATTATTTAGGTACTCATGAATTTGAGCTGTCAACAAAAACGTCAACAACTTGTTCGAAAGTTCAACACCATCGGAAATAATGGACTCTATCGCACTAAAAAACCACCCTGTATATTCGTCCAATGAAGTTCAAGACCAAAAATGCCCAATAAATGACGTCATATTCGTCATATCTGCTACTGTCAATGTAATTCCTCAATAGTTCGAAAACAGGATTTCTGCGCTTGTATCGAACGTTACTTTTCATTCGAATCTGACAAATAACTCGCATAGCAACCCCAATTTCATATTTAAACGTTTGAGTGAGTTTTTGCATTATTTCATTGCCATGTCACGTTTTCACGATAATTGTTTTGTTTTTGGTTTTGCAAACGTGAAAAACCAATTGAGAAAACTACTAGACAAGGACAAATCGTTCAGTTGTACAGTTGTGACATTTCCGCACACTATGAGTAAATAGTATATTATATTGTAAACCATGATTTTGCCTATGTGGCATAACTCCAATATGCTACGAGGACCTATATGTTTGAAGAATGAGGCGAAGGCGAAGGGTTATTGAAATGTTTTGCGAAACAGGAAGAAATTCATATTATTATATTAATCAACCAAACTAAACCACTTACATACTTGACTGTCAGAGCAAGCATCAGATTAATCAACTGCAAACCGTATTTGCCAGTCTAGCAAATAATAAAACGAATGCAAAACAAGTCACTACCTGAGTAAATATAGGTATTGTTTACATTTTCTTATCGCAAATTTTCGGAGAATTAGCAGCTTTGGCATATCTTGTTCCAATAACTATAAATCAATTATTTCAAATCAGATTTTGCATATGATGTAATTGAAAGTTTTTTAAACAATTTTGATGGAAATTAAAAAATAATAAATTGAACCATTCTGTTTCGTTTGGTCTTACTATCTTCTTTATGTAGGAAGTGAGTAATTATGTAGGAACTAATAGGTGGACACGGTATAAAACCATTACACAAAATACCTTTTATTAAACTATAAGGTTAAAAATTAAGTTTCAAAATAAAGTTGAGAAAACCGCCTAAAATCATTTTTTTTCAAATAGAAACCCGATTTTTTGATAACTTTATCTTATTCAGTATTAAAAATGAATGTAAGTTTCTGTAAGGTTGTCTATTCCAAAGTGTTTAATTTTCGAAATGTTGTCAATTTAATGTTGCGATATGGCTATTTTGCCGCATCTTATTTTAAATTCTGCCACTCTTAGTTGCCATGGCGAAAGTAGCTATTTTTTAATGCAATCAGATTCTCTTGAAAATAATTAATAATCATGGCCGGAGGCTTAAATTATACAAACGAAGATTTTTAAACTTGCACTTTATGTACAGATGTGACAGAAAACCTCAATTGAAACAGAGCCACAACAACAAATAAAATACAATTAAGTAGTTAAATCACATGAGGTGTTCGAAGTTCAGCCCGTTTAACTCCCAACAGGTTTGTACGTGCCCGTATCACATCACATTTTTAGCCGCTTCTCGTATTCGGTTAATTAACTCGGGCTGGTTCAAGTTGTACCGGTGTGGAGTAAACCAGATATTTGGTGCGTACTTGGGACCTGTGTTTCTTACATACGTGATAAAAATGTAGCCCTTCGTCGGGAGAGTTATCAGGACAATTATCTGGTGCCTGAAAAAACGTCAGTTGTTGTGAAACAACGCGGAGCATTATGAAAGGCTCAGCTGCAATTATCTCCTATACCTGTTCCTCTATGTTTGGAACCGGAGCACCTTTACATCGTACACTATCTGCGTCAATTCCTGGAGCCAATCGTTCAGTGTCTTCAGCGTTTTTATTTATAAATTTACCTATACGTAGCTATTTATGAACCCGGTGCATAGTGGTTGGTCCCGCCTTAGGTAATGCGGTCATTAAGAAGTCAGATTTTCCTCCAACAATCAACTTTTTAAATATGTTTTGCTATTTTAGAAAACGCATTTACAGTTTGGATTACAATGGGGAGAAAACTGGAAAAATCGAAAGATAAGTCGAGATACTTTTCGAGTCATTTGATTGTGCAAAATACTTACAGCCAAAAGAAGTAAATTATATTGTGGGTCCGGCCCTGTCGCTATGAAGTAGAGAGAGCCAAATGCGGGGAACACGGAAAAGGACGACACACCACGATGAAGGACGACACACCACGATGTAGGACGAAGGGCTAGACGACGACGCCCGTCGTTTGTTTTTTGGATGTTAATTGGATTGTTTTGTTTTTGGGAGTAACAAATAAACTCATTTTTAATTGTTTTCACAACATTGCTAAATTTCCCTACAATATGTTTTAATGAATGACTTTTAATACACTTTATTATAATGAGGGCTTAAGTATGTGTTCCAATTTCAAAAGATAGTATCAAGATGTACCCAAGTAAACATACAGGGTGATTCAAAATTGGCGTCATTCTTTTTAAGGGGTTATAGGGGCTCACTTGGAGAGTACGAGAAAAATATTGAAAACATTTTACCATCTTACTTTGAAATACAAAACCTTACACAAACTTATTTCTAATATTCAATAAGACAAAATTATCAAAAATGGGGGTTTCCATTTGAAAAATTTGATTTAGGGCGGTTTTCTCAACGTCATTTTGAAACTTATTTTTAACACTTTGTATTGATAGTTATGAAAATTTTGTCGAAATTCCATTCAAGTAAGTCTTTTTCAACAGTAAAGCATAGTCAAATTAAGTAGAACATATTCCCTTCTAAGAATAGCGAATAATTATTCAAGTGGCTGCAACTGTCATTTTTAACATAAAATTTCAAAGATCGAAAACGGTTAGACTTAGGAATAGGACATTATACATGAAATATATTTAGAAATTGGAGTTGAATTTAAAAATGTAATAATATATAGGGTGTTCTATTTAAAATAAGCAAGTTGATACCTACTTCCGGTATAACCGGAAGTGTGGCAATCTGGAAAGTATTTTAGACCGTTTGCCGCCAATGACTTCGGCAGACTGTCCAATTTCGAAATTCCCCCTAATTACAGTTGGCTAGATATCAATCGCCGCGGTTCCCGGTAGGACACCCTGTATATAGATTGTTGAATGCCGTCGAGCAGGTGACATAAACTTTAAGAATGATATGTTAATAATTTTTCTACATAGAAACTATACAGGGTGATTCAAAATTGGCGTCATTCCTCTGGAGGTGTTGTCTGGCGCTGTTATAAGAGTACAGCAAAAATAGTAAAAGAAATTAATTGTTATTAAAAAGGCAGCCATGTTTTTCATGGTAATCTGCCTAATTAACATTGCGCAAATACTTGTTGCTTCGTAATTATTTAAAACTCCGGTAGCCATGAAATTATACAGACCGACAATAAGATAGACAAGGATAAACGGTAAATTCAACAAGATGTGTTGACGAAATGTCAACCTGTTCTCATAAGCTCGAATAACGGTATTTAAAAATAAACCATACAACAGCAAACATTTGAATGGTTAACTCCAGACAAGCTGGTGTCTGTGTAATCTCCTTATTATCCACTCTTATCAAGCAGCTTCTCGTATTCAATTAATTAACTCCAGCTCCATTTGTATCTCCTTGTACCATATGTATCGTACAAACGTGGTAGGAACGTAGCCCTTCCTCGGTATTTACTTGGTGTTTCGGAAAGTGTCAATTATTGTGCTCTGAGTGCCCCTGGAAGGCCCTGATTCGGTTATGTCCAATACTTGTTCCTCTGTGTCTGAAACCCGAACATCGATTGTGGTCCACTATCGTCCTGGAACCACTCTCCTCGCCCTTTGTTGGCGTGATTTCTTTCAGCTTTCGCCATGTTACTGTAGCATTTCCCCTGAACTAATCGCATATTTGCGCACAGTTTGACAAATTATTGTTATGATTGGCAAGGGCTATCCACCTGTAACTATCTGTTAATGACAAAAAACATAATTGCCGCTGTGCCTTTTCATCAAAAATTGTAAAAGAAAACTTTTTTTATATCAAAAATGTTCGTAATTTGAAGCAAAGATAGTAATTTTTCTTTTTGGATGCTTAAGTATTCCGTTATGCTACCAATTAAACATGGAACAATTTCAAAACAATGCTTAATAACAAAGTTGAAATTCGATCTTCAACTGTTAATATCTTCTAGAAATTTTCGGAAAATAAAATTCCCTGAACAAAGTTCAGTGGCTGGCGTGCCTGGGAATAAATGGAGCAATGTCAACAACGCCGACGGCCGCTATGGAGACACTCCTGGGGCTGGAGCCGCTGCATTTATCCATTGAAGCTGAGGCCCTAAGAAGCGCTTACCGTATGGGTGA